AACCCAATCCCATCCTGCAATCCAAACATGCTGTTAGATTACATTTGGGAGTCCGCACAAATCATGGGATGGAACAAAAAATTAGTCTCATCCCGCTGTATCCCATGTTTGGTAGAACTAGAAGATGGGATGCACTGTATCCAATCTTTTATCCTATTCTACAGTCATTGAATAAAACGTAACCCACCTCCCCCAAGGGATTAAGTGGGATAAAATTTGATTTTCATATTTTACCCTCCTGTTCCGGGGGGTGTTATTGCCACAACTTCAAAGGTTAACACCACAGCTTTTTTAATTAATTGACCATTAACCCATGCGGAGAAGGTGGTGACTGCTGCGAGCTGGATTCAAAAGAGGGGTATAATAGTCAAATAATTAAAGAAAGCTGTGGTATTAACCGTAATGGCTGTGGCAATAACACCACCCTCCTGTTCCTCTCGTGAATTTTCTGTGCCTCCCATGATTTTCTCTGTCCTCTACAAACAGATCAACTATCAAAGATGAATTGAAGATGACAGCAGTGTTAGGAATCGAAGAAGTTCGCTAGAAAAACGATTCAATTTCGTTTGGGTTCGTGGTTGATATCGGAGAACGAAATGGTAGTTTGGAACTCCAAATCTCCGATGAAATGTTACCGGAAAAGATCAAGACTTCTTAAATCTAGTTCTAGTGATGTAGGGGAAGGGCGGTGGTGGAGTCCCAGGTGAAGGCCAAGGAAGGAAGGGAGACAGTGAGGGTATGGATGAGTTTTGTTCATCCTATATTTCATTTCCTTGGATATCTTTTTGGTAGAATTTTCATTTAAAAAGAGTCATTTTTATTTGTTAATTTTCTTTAAATTTCTAGCAAATAAACAACAAATTTCTTTTGGTGGATTTAAAGATATTTTTCATCCCAATTTTAGTTTGCTTGAAGATGCACCTAAATTGGGTTTGTTAGAATACTTTGGTGGCCTGTCTGTTTGGTTTATGAGAAAATGATGGAAAATTTTGATGATAATTAAAACTGCCTAATTGAGATTTTGTTGTAATTATATTCAATTAATTAATGATAATTAATTTATTAATATTAATCCATAACTATTGAAAACAAATTAAAATAAGATAAAAAAATTGTAATATTAGTTTAATTGTAATTTAAGGATATTTTTATCCATATAAATAAATTTTTATATCTAATTTAACGTTTATCTCATAATCACCCAAAAATATGATTAGGTTGTAATATATCTTATCGTATCTAATCTAATTATGTCATATCCTATCTTATAAATTTTATTTAATTCAACCCAATTTCGCAAACCAAATATGATCATCCACATTTTCCTTGATTTTTGTGGCTACATATCCTCCTCTAACATCAAGTTCCTCCATAGTTCTACAAAGACCCTTTTTCTTGCATTCGATTCCTCCTCTCTGAGTTGCACTTGTTCGCCGTTCAGATCTAATTCCACAATTACTTCCCTATTCTTCACAATTTTATTATCAATTTAAGACTTCAACCATTTACTTCTTTCTTTCCGGAGCTTCTTCCATGACTTAAGTTTCTCCTTTAAGCAATAACCTTTCCATCCTCTAATCCTAGTCGAGAATCACATTAAGAGTTAGTTACTCAATGTTTCATGGTTTTTTTGTGTTTATCTTTATTTTTGTAATGAACTTCTATGTTTAAAACTCTGCCACACCAACCTCAAAATCATAATATTTAACTCGCTAAACTCTTCTTAGATAATAATACCTACATCATTTTTCTTCTTTTTCTATATATATATATATATATCATTGTGAACAAAGAAGAAAAAATTTTCTTCTCAAAATTTTACACAAAACACAAGAGCGAACAATTTTTCCTCTCAAGCCAATGCGGGCAATCCCTAGTAGTTTTAGGATGTGTTTGGAATTTGGGTTAAGAGATTTGTCTTATATTATATAGTATTTTTAGATATATGTATTTTTAGTAATTATTTTTGAATTATATTTTTCAAAAGTTACAAAAAATTACGATAAATCTACAACAATTTATGTATAAAGTTAAAAATTTTATTTTAAAGTTTTTTTGACAATGACTTTCATAAATAACATTTAATATTTAATGTAATTATAAAATTACTCATTAAAATCAAATTTTATTTAATTTAATTACATTATAATTTATAATATTTTATTTAAATTTAATCTCTTATTTATTTAAAAATTTCATAAAAATTAAATTAAAAAATCATTTCTTTTTATGAATTGCTTTATGCAAAACCCCAAAAAACACCAATTACATAAAACTTAAAAAACTTAAATTATTAAGAAATATTAAATATGATCTATTTTAATAATTATGTATTATGTGATATTTTTTAAATTTTAATTAATAATTTATAAAATTTATTATATTTTATTTGTAATATTATAAAAAATAAAAAAATTAAATATTAAAATATATTTTAATCACAACTACAATATAATATTATTTAACATAATCATAATTATAATCATAACACCTCAAATCAATTCCAAACTACCTCTTAGTCGATACATTCAAGGCGAGCCTGTGACCGTGCGACACCGTCGCCTGCCCTCCCACCATTGATCGGCGTAACGTGATGCGTTGTCAAGACACCATTGGCCCATTGTGCACATCAGCGTACGATGATGTTGACATGGAATACTATTTTTTTTATTACTTTCCAATTTTTCTTGGCCTTTATTGTCCATTTCTTTTATTCATTATTTTTAAGGATACGAGGGTTTTTGTGGTTTTCTGAATTAATGGATCCTTGGCGTTTCTGCTCATATTTCTAGGGTTTGTGAACTTCTCCCTTCTTTGATTCCTCCCTTTCCAGGGTGGTTGCTGTTTGGTTTTCTAGAAAATTTTGGCTTTTTCCAGTGATTTTCTCTCTGGGGTTCCCTTGTTCTTTCTTCTTCCTTTTGCACCGTGAAAGTTGAAACCTTTCTATTGGATTAAGAGATGCTATTATTGATCTATTCAAACTTTTGTTTTCTTTGCACAAAGACCTGAAACATGTTTACTTTCCTAGAAAATTTAGGCTATTTTTTTTCTGCGTTTTTCTTGTTTCTCTCTTTCCTTTGAGCTTTTAAATCCTTCCTCTGGGTTGCCATTATATTCTCTTCAAAATTTTTAATATTTCTACGTAAAGGTAGAAACTTTAGGAATAGCTACACACTTCGTAGCTACCCAATATATATCTGGGGACTTTGCTCAATTTTGGTGAGTATTTGTGTTATTTTTTCAAAAAAAAAAAAAGAAGAAAAAAAAGATTCTCCTGTAATGTTATTTATTGGCGTGGCTCTGATGATAAAATAGAAGATCATGAAAGCAAAAATTGCGATGAAGAGGATCGAGAATGCAGCAAATAGACTCGTGACCTTTTCCAAGCGTCGAAATGGGCTGCTTAAGGAGGCTTTTGAGCTTTCTGTTCTCTGTGATGTCATGTTGCAGTTATCATCTTCTCACAAAAAGGAAGACTTTATGAGTTCTCATGCTCCGTGTATGTTCATTTTTCTTTCTTTTACTTCTTCTTAATTATATTAACAAAGCTCTTTAATTGATTATTTCTTTTTACTATACGTTAATCATTCAACAGATTTTGCAAGTTTGGTTTTTGTTCCTCTTTTCTGTTTTTAGTCAATCGAATTTTACCCTTTTGTGTTTTAAAATCCTCTTTGTATTGCAAGGATTCTTCCATAAATTTTAGGGATATCCTCATTATGTTGGAAATATGTACTTCCTCAGTTCCATTTAGAAATCTTAGTATTTGCATTGATTTTTTTTACCTGTGTGTCTGATTTCATTTCTTTTGATGAAGTATATATCAAGAATGGCTCTCGTGATATGCTTTGCTACTGGAACAAATCCATCTGAGTACGTTTGGCCTTTCTCAAACATGTCTGTTATGGTTTGCAAAAGCTTTGCTGCTAGGAACTAGAAACTGTAATTTTAGTTTTTAGCCTGCCACCATTTCAATTTACATATTAATTAGTAGAAATTAAATCTGGAACTAGTTTTTGTCCTTTTCTTTATATATAGTGTATGATATCACATATGCTTTAGGAATTATGTTAAACCCTCCAATCTTCACAATAAAAATTTGAGACTGCCTAAAGTAGTTATGAAATCATTAATTTCTTGTAGTATATATCCTATTGAAGTGAGTATATGAAATTCATTGGTACTTGGCCCAATTAAATAAATGTCGCCTGTGTGTGCTTGAAGCAATCTATGAATGTATACTTTTATGAGGCATATAGATATCTATCTTAATGATTTTCTTAACTGCATGCTATTAGGCTTTTTAGATTTTCATTCTTTATAGTCATCACTAAGTGTTTGCTTTTCAAGTGTTAGGTAAATATATATGTTTTTCTCTTTTCTGTTATATATTTATATAATCTTCATTTTGGGTGTTTAATTCATATATGTGATCAAAGTATTTGTTCAAGCCAAAAGCAAGATGTATAGGAATGATATAATCACTTAATAATACTTAAGAAAAATAAAATTTAACTTAGAAAAAGCAGAAATCTAAGACATTGGACATTTTGATTTGCTATAAAGCATATAATTACTTGAGATGCATCTGTTAATTGGATTGTAGATTAAAGAATAATACTACCTTTTTGTGCTTAGAATTAGTTAAATGGAATCATAGGATACATTTGTAGAGGAAAACAAATTAATCATCTTCCAATACACTCTAAATTAATTCTTTACAAAATCTTTGTCATTTTTCATGACCAATTGATTTATTATTGATAGCAATTTGTTGGACCATGCTTTGTACTCCTATTTAGTATAAATTTCATTTTGTTGGCTAATTAAAAAAAAAAAATTGCTCTTGGATCAAGTCTTGGTCGAGCTAGTTAACTTGTCCTTGAAAACTAGTGAATCTAACCATTATTTCTGACGATTATTTCTTCTCTTTTTGAGTGCATCTTTGATAATTAACTTTTGAAAAATGATTTATATACCCTCGGTTCAATCATTAAAAATATAATATAAATACAGTTGATTTAGTTAGTTTCTACATCTTGTGTGGATGATTGTATCTTTAAACTTGTCTACCTTCCTTTAATTTCATACTAAGAAATAGTGACTTTTAATGAGTGTGTTGTGTAGTGTATTGAATCAGAGTGTGTAGCAATCACTATTCTTAACTTTTTGATGCAGCCTCTTCCTTTTTTTATTTCTTTGTATCTAAGCTTTTTGTTTTATTTTATTTTATTTTTGATATATTGAATGGTGATGTATGTATACATCACGATATACATAGTTTTTCCCCTCTATCTCAACATTTAGATTTTATACCTTTAACCTAAAATCTTAAACTCTTTATTAATTGATAGCACTTCTTCTAAGGATGTATTTAAGATTTCCTAATGCAGAGTATAGAATATTCTTGTTAAATTTTGATAACCAACTTCTAGTTGCAATATGTGCACTCACTTCTTTTTAATTGACTAGACTCATTTGGCTAAACTAAATTTTAGAGAAAATGTGCAGATAAGGTTATGAACTTTCTCATGTTTTCTAAGGTTACAAACTTTTTGGGTCTCTAAAGCAGGTGGTAAACTTTCATTTTTTTCTAAATAAGGATACAAACTTGACATTGTTTTCTATTTAAAGATTTATTAGATGGGTGATAATGATGTGACAAATGTCAATCTTAATTGAAATAGAGCAAAATTCCTACTCTTAAATAGAAAAAATAATAAACTTTATATCCTTAAATAGAAAAAAAATGAAATTTTATTGTCTAATTTGGAAACCCAAAAAATTCGTATCCTTAAATAGAAAAAATAATAAAGTTCCTATCCTTATCTAAATCTTTTCTCCTAAATTGTATATGGTAAAATTGCACCATCTACCCCATAATGACTCTTCACAAAAACCTTTGTCACTCTTCATGATCAATTGCTTTATTACCGTGACAAGACAAACTTTTTTAAGGGACTATCCTTCATTTTTACTGTCTTCAATCTCCTCATATTTGGAAATACCATGCTGATTTGCATATTTTTGAAAACTTTTCCTTGTGCTGTTTAACATAATACTCTATTTTGACTTATCTTGCAATTAATTGCCTCCTAAAAGTCAGACTCTAGTAAGCATTTATATATTTTGTAGTTTTATTAATCAGCACCGAAAAACAATTATTAAATGCGAGATTTAAATTCAAATTTTAATCTTTAGTTTGCAAAGGAAATTAAATTTGATTTCCATATCTTGAAAATACAAGCATTTACAAATATAATGTTTGGCTTAAATGAAACTATCACCATTTTGAAATCCATGTATTTGTTTTATATAAGTTGGAAATAGGTATGTATATTAGATTTAAGTATTCAAGTTTCACATGGATCTTAGATTTATGATATCATCAATGTATCTTTTTTCACTAATCTACTCTTTTTTATTATAAAGCAAACAAAAGGACTCGAAATTGAAGATTTAAATTTAAATGCGAACTCAAATATGCAATTCACAAACCATTTATAGATTTAACATGATGCTAGATGATGTTGAAGCTGCATGTCAAATTTTTCAATGGCTGTGCAATGCCCTATAAATATGTCAAAGCCTCCTTTGTAAAACAAACTAAAGGAGAAAAAATTTTTTTTTTTTTTTTCCTTTGCTACATTCAAACTAAATCCATGTAATTCGTTATCCTTGTGTTTTGGGTATGTAGTCTAAGTTGTAACTTGTTTGAGGTGACCATTCTCTGAACTTGGATGCATCTTCATTCTTGGCATTCATCTTTTAGGCTTAGATTGTGGGTTGAGGTAAGTAACTTCTTTGCCATCTGCTGATAGGATATATCTGCTTTCTTTTCAGTTCTATTCATTCATTCATTCCTAAGAAACTGTTAACATGGATTGATGACATTAATATTTTTTCTCAAGTCTTTATGTTGACTCTCATGATATGCTTTGCTGCTGGAACAAATCCATTTGGGTGCATTTTGCCTTTCTCAAACATGTCTATTAGGGTTTGCAAAAGCTTCATTGCTAGGAACTAGAAACCGTAATTCTAGTTTTTAGCCTGCCACAATTTCTTTTTTATTAGATGAATCAAAATTCTATTAATTTGGTGTACAAGGGGTACACCTACCCATATATACACCATTGCATAAATTTAATTGTTACCATAATCCACATTGCCAAGATAAAGGAATACAAAACACGTTGGTTGATTCATACATAGATAGGAATACAAATGACTACAACATTCATAAGGCTGCACGCTGCTTCATCATCCAAGGCACCCTCTATTTTCAAGTTTCCTGAGCACATAAGTAACGCACAGTGCACCATTGATGGTAGGAAAAAATACTACCTTCTGACTTACCGCGCATTCAGCATAGTTTCTCCTTCTAATAATCTCAAATGACATATCTTCATCCCAAGGGTTGGAGTTGTGAACCATACAATTCCTCATAAACCAAATTGACCATGCCACCACCAGAAATGTAAAGTACCAAACCTTAGCCTTCACAAATATCTTAATTCCTTTTCGTGATTGGTGCTATAACCCATGGGATTGTGCTAGAGCAGTAAATGAATACAGGGAAGCTGTGAAGAGTGCAAGACAAGTACAGGATCAAGTAACATGATTTAACTTGAATTTATGTGTCTTGTGATTTAATTGTTTTGCATGTTGAGAGAATTTTGAGGCATGTTCATGATATGTTGGAGGACCCCTTATACTCTATTTAATATAAATTTCATTTTGTTGGAAAAAAAAAAAAGGCTCTTGGATCAAGTCTTGGAGGAGTTTACTTGCCCTTGAAAATCAGTGAATCTAAACATTATTTCTTCTCTTTTTGAGTGCGTCTTTGATTACTAATTCTCTGATGCAGGTTCTTCCTTTTTATACTTCTTTGGGAAAATGATAGGTAGACACTCGATTCAATGCACTTTTTGACACTTGATTCTGTAAACTCGGATGCTTCTTCATTCTTGGCATTCGTATTTTAGGCTTAGATGGTGGTGGGTTGAGGCAAGTAACTTCTTTGCCATCCGCTGATGGGATATACATCTGTTTTCTTTTCAGTTCTATTCATTCATTCCTAAGAAACTGTTAACATAGATTGATGACATTAATATTTTTTTGTGAAACGCTTCAGCATGCAAAAGACCATTGAACGATAATCTATCTATACAAAAGAAATTCCAACTCACAAGCCTGAAATGGAACAACACATGCAGGTTAGACTTCCATCTTTTATTGTACAGATTAATTTTCATGAATATTTTCCGAGAAAAGGGCAGTTCAAAATTTATTTGTTTTTCATAGAAAACAGAAACAATTATAGTTAAGAAAGCAAATTGTTACGTTTGGTGTTTTAGTGGGGAGTCCTTACACAATCTGAATTGTATGAAAGGAGCAGCGCGAACATTTAGATGTGTGCATAGATTTTTTTTTTTTCTGGTACCAATCCCTGGAATTTAGAAGCCACATTGGTCTTGACTAATTTGGAGTCGGTTCAAGTTGAACCCCATAAGGGGAAGCTTTCATTGCATCTGTTTTCTATTCACAATTAACTTGGTCGCCAATCTGCGCCTTCTATTGTTGGGGAAATTACATTTTAGCTTGTTGTGGTTTGAGATTGGTGTGCAAAAAAGCACAAGATTTTAAAATGTGCATATAACATATTTATGATTTAAGATGGTTGCGCATAAAGATCTAAGATTTCAAGATGTGCAAAAAAAGACTTGAGTTTTGTATTAGGTGCATATAATCACTTGAAGTCACATGAAATGTAATAATACCCTTATTTTTCTTGTCTTCTCTTTTCATTCTTTTAAATTAAGGATCTCTAAGAAATTTCAAATGGTATTCAAACCATGTGCAAATCCTTGGTGTTTATGTGCACATTTTGATATCTTAGACCTTTATTTGCAATTACCCAAAACTTCAATCTTTATGTTGACTTACCTCAAACCATTTGTAGTTAAATTGCAATTTCCCCTTGTTTATATCATGGTTTCGGACTCTAAATTCAAGATTTAGTAATTGAAGAGTTTCAAAGCTCAAATAAGTGCTTACTCTAGTCTCCTATAAACAAGTTGCCAAGGGGCAGTCCAAAACTTGGTTATAATACTTCATCAATTTCAGCAAATCATTCCAAGTATTAATCAAATCCATGCAATCTTTGGTATTAACTAGATTTTGTGGCTTGATTCTTTGATGCATATGATTGGTTTTCTCTATCTATAATCTAACATTAATTCTTCATTGCTCTCATCAAACTACTTGCTTCATGAGTCATAATAAATTACTAGCCTACAGCTGGTAACAATACTTTCGGTTTCCTCAAAAAAATTTCAAAGTGCAGCACTTGACGATTGAAACAGCAAAGAGGTTTAAGAAGATTGAGTTCCTGGAAGTTTCTAAATGGTTCAATGATCTAATGTTTATGTCATGTTACATTGATACTTCATCTCATCCAGGTGAAAGGATTTCTAAAGTTTGAAATTTTGGTATCATCTAGGAAGTTGTTGGGTCAAGGATTATGCTCATTTTCTGTTGAGGAACTTCAAGAGATTGGTAGCCAGCTAGAACAGAGCTTGAAAAACTTCAGGGCAAGAAAGGTTTGCAACCTTTAGATTTACATTTAGGCTAAAAGTAGTTACATTAATGAATCAATACATGATTATAAGATTTCTGCTTTGAAAGGAAAATTAGTATTTGAGCTACTGTCAAATGGGTTTTTTGGCACATTTATAGTATTTGCACTATCGTTGTACCCTTTATAGATATACAACTTCCAGATTTCCTCAGATTCGTCTCCTCCTTAAGTCATACTCATAGATAGAGCTGCAACCCACATTCCTTTAACCATTTAAGTGGTCCAAAATCTCCTCCGTGATGTGGAACCGGAGTCTCTAATGTACCCTGTAATAGATTCTTCCTTGCGCCAGTTGCCTACGTGCAAGGGATTTTGGCTTGACATTCCTCAGATCATTGACTATAGATTCTTCGTTGTGCGATGCATCTACTTACACAATTCCTAGACAATTCTTGAAAATAGTGTTTGCTTGCATGAAAGTATGTAGACTAAACATGTTTTGTCCTATATTATAGGACCAGTTATTTAAGGAGCAGATACAACAACTAAAAGTAAAGGTAAGATTAACCCCCTCCATTGAATCAAACATATATTATTTCCTAAATCTTCTAGTTCTAAGCTTCTCAAGAATGTTCTTTTTATTTGTCTCAATGATAATCTTAATTTGGGAGAGAATGTTCTTAAAAGTCAATGCATAATTATGTGAAAAGATGAGTCTTTCATTTCCAAATCTTGAAGCTATTTTTTGTTTTTATACTTAAAAAAACTTCATAGTTTTACAATTCAAATTGAAATTAAAATACGAAACTTATCTCTTTGGATGATTGGGCCTGCTTTGGCCTGCCCTACATTAAGTCCCATTTTAGCCAATTACGCTTATTATGCAATCTAGTATATTTTAAATTGTGAAAGCACCATTTTGAATGAAAATAAATTAGCTCACTCTTTTTTGTTTGGATGTTAGTGTGGTGGTGGTGGTGAAAAGTCATGGTCGCAACCACTAGCCCAACAAATGAACAACGTAAATGATTGCATGCAAAATAACCAATGCCTGGAGGTTGTGATGAAATTGTTCATTAGATTGCCACAAAACTATTAATATCGACTTTTGAATTGTTTTACTGTTGAAATTATTGTGCTGCTCCAAATGATGTTGTATAATCGGTGTATGTGGTTGGTTGGTTAGTTCACTATTTTTCTCTTAATATTTTCTTCTTGAGTTATGTGTGATCTAAATGTAACTATAATATATAGTCTAAGAATATCATAAAAGTATAGTTAAGATGAATTTAAAAAAAAAAATCAATGCATCTAATAAAAAAAAAAGTTTGTGTGTTGTAAGGGTATAGTTAAAAGCATAATAAATGTATTTTTTGTAATTAATTTATATAAAAATTATAAAAATTAATATTTATTTTAACATTATTGACACATAATTGATTTTATTTAATTAATTTATTAAATTAAAGTAAACTGTTACATCTTTAATTGTAAAAAAGTAGATTAATTATTTCTACATCCAATGCATTGATTAAAAAATTTTTTTTTTAATAAATCAAAAATATTATTGATTAGGAGTATAAGGTTCCTCCACCTAAAAAGCTATGTCGTCTCCGCGGTTAACATATTCTCATGGTTACAAAACAGCTTCAATTTAAACTGATCATAATATTTAACTCATGCAGCACACTAATAATCTTCATAATTCCCTGACGCAAGGATGTGGGAATGAGCACCAATAGTGAAAAGGAAACACACTACCTTCTGACTTCTCCGAATCCAAGCGAAGGTAATGGGAGGAGTTATTAGATCTCGATCTTACCAGAAGAGGAAAAGAAATTCGATTTTGTGGATTCCAAAATGAGACTTCAACAGGTGGCCCCAGTGGCCTCCAAATTGAGAGCCCAACTGCATGATGAGAGAAAGAAATCGAGGACCAATCCACCTGTAAATAGCAAAACCCAGCTCCAACTCACTGCTTCCAATAAAAGCAAAATTTTAAAATCATATTGAGAAACCTTCTTCTAAAAATCATATGTTTTTCTAAATATTTAATCCACCAATCAATTTTCCTTAGCAGCTTTCTTTTTTTTGGTTGGATAATTCCTTGCAGCCTTACCAAAATGAAAAATTCGTCAACAAAAACACAAAATAACTATAGGGCTTCATTCTCAATTTAAGTAACTTTTTTTTTTCTTTTGTTCAATTTTAGTTAATTGAGGTTTTGTTTGGTATGATAGTCATTTTTCTTTTTAGTTTTAGTTTTTAAAATTTAAAGTTAACAACTTAAGTATCTCGTAGTTAT